CTACAATCTAGCCAGCTAATGATAGTGGTAGAAGTGATCTTTAAAGTTAATAATGTATTTACCTTCTGAAAAGAGGGGACTTTATGGTCAGTTTTAGAGATTTAACCCGCTACTGTATCTGTATATTGATTGATGATGTAAAGCACATACCACAGTATCATTTTAAAGTAGATAAGTGTTACCGTGTTACTGTTAACGGGGTAAGCCGGGTTATTTATATGACATCTCATGCTGAACTCAGGGCCGTGAACACTTCCCTGACTTTCCATGTTGGTGGAGCGTTTCTCCACACTGAAAACAAACAGCATCTTGAAACCTAACTAATGTTAGTTTGGTGTATTTATCAGACTATAGAGAAGTGGCTGGGCTAGCAGTTGGGATTGACTGACACCACTGGGATTCCCAAAGGTTATATGACGCATTTCTGTTTTTGCATACTGGGTTTTGTAATGAGAAGACATTGATGAACGAAAACTTGAAAACCGGTGAAGCTGAGGCATACAGCATGGTGCTACAGAATGCTGCATAACACAAAAAATAACAAATTAAATGCAGTTTTAGGCTGGAATACCCCTTCAACATCTCAGCATGGTTTGAGACAAGTATCTGATGATGGCAACATGGTAATTGGGGTAATTTTTTAGCTACATTAGCCTCACAGCTGCATTAGCCTCACAGCAAAATTATAGAAGAAAACTTAAGACACCAAATATGTCTTGGTTTATTAACTACCTTTGAGGTAAGAGGGAAACTGCGTAAATTTTTGGCTGAATACTCACTTTAAATCAGCTAAAGCCACTAATTAAAGGGTGTGTGGACACTCGGACACATTGTATTGTATACGGGCTTGCGTGCATGATTAACATGGTGTTAGCGTCAGATACTTCTTTGATCTTTCTGTTCTTCCCTTGTGCTTCGTTACAAGCTCGTACGTGTATTCTTTGTGTTTGTGTATGTCTGTTGTTGTTTTTTTCCCACTTTGTCCTCTAGCTCAAAGATATTTGCTACAAGTGTGTGTGACTAATTGAGCATTGCAGGAGTTGTCAATAGAGCGCTTCATTAGCACAGGACGGAAGAAAGCCACTTTTCAGCTGGTTGTGAGTTAATGGAGCCATGTGTGCGCGTGTGTGTGCGCACGTATGTCCCAGCAGGGGATCTGCCATCTCGTTGACGGACGTGCCGATGCCGCCCACTCTCCCATGACCCCCTGCTTTAGCATGGGTCAGAGTGCTGAGTACCAGGCTACAGCTAACAGGCTAACACAGCAGGACGCTAATTTAATGAGACAGACGGAGAGAGAGAGAGAGAGAGAGAGAGAGAGAGAGAGAGAGAGAGAGAGAGGAACAGAGAGAAAGTGTAACAGAGAGGGTCGAGGAGGGGAGCTGAAGGGACGAGAGAGAAATGGGTGAGGGTGAGAAAGAGAAAAAGAACAAGGGAATAAAAGAGAGAGAAGGGGGAGAGAGAGCGAGATGGAGAGAGATGGAGAGAGAGCGAGATGGAGAGAGATGGAGAGAGAGTCATGCAAGAGAGGTGGAGGTAGAAAGGAGGCGAAAACAGAGAGAGAGAGATGGAGAAAGTGATGGAGAGTAAGAAAAGGGGGAGAGGGAGATTGAGGTAAAGAGAAGGGGGAAGATAGAAAGAGACAAAGAGGCACAGAGAGGGTCAAGGTGGGCAGGGCTAAGGAACAAGATAGAAATGGGAAGAGGATGGAGAAAAAGAGAACAAAAACAAGGAAATTAAAGGCCAAAAGAGACATGGAGAAGGTGATGGATAGTAAGAAAGGGGGAGAAAGAAATAGAGGTAAAGCGGAGGGAGGACAGTTGAGAGAGAGCTGGAGAAGGTGATGGAAAGTAAGAAGGGGGAAAGAGAGAGAAAAGATAGAGAGGAGGGAAGAGAGTAGGGAAAAGAAAAAAGAAACAGGTACAAAGAGAAATGAAAAAGGTGATAGAGAGAAAGAAAGGAGGGAGAGAGACAGGTAGTGAGGAAAGAAGAGACATAGAGGAGAGAAGAAAAACAGCTTGAAAGTGGAGAGCTAGAAAGAGAGATGAAGAAGTGCAAAGAGGGGCTGATGGGGAGGCAATGAGGGGGAAAAAGAGAATGGATGATAAAAAGAAAGAAGGAGAATAATGGAATGAGAGAGAGGAAGGGAGATCCAGAATATGACAGAGAATTAGAAATGGGAGACATGGAAAGAGAGATAAAGCAAGAGGGAAAGGAAGAGAGAGGAACAGAGAGAGGGAGCAAGAAAGTGGCTGCTGTATGTTTCTTTTTTAAGCTATTAAAGCTCTAATTGGTCTTCAAAATTCTTCCATTTAACTTGTACTTTATCTTTTTCTCTTTTCTTGTGTCCCTCCATCTGTCATACTCTCTCTCTCTCTCTCTCTCTTTCTCTCTGTCTCATTACTGGTCTCACAGCCTCAGAATTGTTTCAGTTCATAAAGTAATGAAGTATCCAGACTAAATATATTTACTGTATGTTGCTAGAAAAGCAGGAGGTAGTGGGAGCACTTTTATACTCATACACACCACACACACTGGTGTACGTGTGGGGGGAGTGTGATTTATGTATGTGGGGTATGTGTGTGTGTGTTCAGGGGGCAGTGTGTGCCCAGTGGGGTTTTTGGCAGGACTAAATTACCCCTTTATTAGAGTCAGTGCTGCAGCACGGCCTGTTATTACTCTCTCTCTTTTTCTTTCTCTCTATCTCTCTCTCTCGCACACACACACACATATACACACACACACACGCGCACACACACACACACACACACACCACAATCTACCTGTTACTGATACACACACACAAAATACCACACACACAATAGTTGCACATTCTAAAACACAGTATATGTATATTCAGACAGACTCTGTCACACACACCTAAATAACACACACATATTTAAATACAGCACCCACACATACACACACACACACACACAGAAACAATACATTCATACATTTGCACAGCTCTGTGCAAAAGTCTTGCACAGCCATAAAAATTGTTCGAAACCATTTATTTTGGCCATAAGTGCATTATCCAGTAAAAACACTGTATAACATAACAATATATAGAAATAACCATAAATATAGTAAAACATTTTTTTTTTGTTATTAATATCTGAAGAAGAATACAAATTTGGCTCCTTTCTTCTCTGTGCTCTCCTGCTATTGTATGGAATTGTTAAAAAGTATGAAATTATCAAAGGATATATGTAATATAGCAAATTAGAGAAATGCATTTGTCACTTCATTTATGAATTTACCAATTTACTGATTAGCTCTTCTACCCTAGCAGGCTTGTCCAAAATTGGGCATTTTTGGAACAAGAAAGAGTGGTGCATTGCATCCATAAACACCACACACACACACACACACACACACATACACAGACACACACACACACAAACACACAGAGCTCAAAAAACATAATTTTCTGCTTCACTATTACAGCATTAAACCCAACAAAGAGGTTCATCTTTCAGCATTAGAGCCCCAACATTTTGATTGCTGTTTGGTCTGACCAATGATGCGGCTCTCCCTCAGGGCTCTGGCCAATAGGACTCTTTCATAATTAAACCCCTCAGAAGTGGATAGAGGGAGTTTAGAGCAGACGCTGATGTGCCATTATTATTATATTATGCAATGTGGTGCTCACTACCAGCTGCAAAACTGGTTTTATGATACTGTGCGCGTGTGTGTGTGTGTGTGAGGATAGCAATAAAACACAACATTGCACTGAATTGAAATGGATTGAATAGCAAGAGAGACAGAAGAGACAGACAGCACAATCATAGAGAGAGGAAAGAGAAATGTTGAAAAAGAGAGCGCATCAAAGCGCCTGTGTTTTTACTGCCGTTTGTCTGACCAGTCACAGTAAGACTCTTTCATAATTAAACCTCTCCAAAGTTGATGGATAATATGAGAGAAAAAAAATGATAGGAGAGAGAGAGAGAGAGAGAGAGAGAGAGAGAGAGAGAGAAAGTAGAAAGACAACAGAGAGAGCAAAGACAGAGGCAGTGAGAGAAAGTGAAAATGAAGAAAAAAGACAATAAGTGAAATAAAAGAGATAAAGAAAAAAAGGAAAAAAGAGAAAGAAAGACAGAAAGGAAGAAAGAAATATAGATAATGAAAAAAGGGAGATAATGAGAGGAAGAGACAGAAGGAGAGAAAGAGAGTGAAAGGGATAGAGAGAGGAGGAAGAGTTTTGTCCATTGTATCTGCAGTGTCAGTGTATTTACTGAAGCTGTACTGATTGTATGAATTTACACTGATTCTATTTGCTGCAGTAAAACTAAACCTGTATTGTGTACTGTAATAGACTATGCGCACACACTTATCTTCTACATTTGTCTCTCTCTCTCTCTCTGTCTCTCTGTTGAGCATATTTTTGCCTTGTGAGAGATTAGCTCACCTGTTTCAATTTTCTGAAGGATGTTTTAATGGTTTTGGACAACAGTTTACTAACAGACAAACTGCAGGAGAGAAGAATGTTCTCTTACTACAAAAATGGCCAGTTTGTTAAATTAATTGTTATGATAGCCAAGTTAGCAGTTTGGAAGGTGAAGAGGAGTAAAGAAGAATTAAACTTTGTTAGTGCTGAGATGATGTTAATAGGGGCTGTTACCAGGGTGGCTAACAGTTGAACATGGTCATTACAGACTGATTGACAAAGTGAAGTGGTTTTAGTATTGTATTATTAGTATTATTAATATAGTTTGTATGTATTTTTTTATGTTGAATTAATGATGATCTATGTCATTTTATAGATCTATGTCATTTTATCTATCTATCTATCTATCTATCTATCTATCTATCTATCATGTCCTAAAAAGTGCTTCAAAGAAAAGTTAAAACTGGATAAAAACACAAAGGAAAACTAAATTTGACTGAAATAATAGATTTGTGATTTGTGGGAAATGGAGTGGGTCATCATGATGATGCTTAGTTGATTTATAATCTCTCTCACTCTCTCTCTCTCTCTCTCTCTCTCTCTCTCTTAGCCATGCACCTGTTTGGTCTGAACTGGCAGCTGCAGGAGGCTGAGGGTTTCGCCTTTGAGAACGGTGTCAAAACAGACACAACACCATCCAACACAGTGACTGCACTGTCTGCTGAACATGGTAAACACACACTCACACCACAGTTTTACTGTGTTTTTGCCCTGGAGCTATGAGGCTAATGTATGTATGACTATATGACACACTGTTTTTTTAAACATATATTGAAGTACCTCAGAAACCACATAATCTGAATGTAAGGTGTCTGCAAGTCTCCAATACTTGTTAGCTACATTAGCCTCATAGTTCCAGTGCAAAACTAAGGAAACAAACTTCAGACACCAAACATATCTTGGCTGATTTACTTTATTTAGGTTGTGCAGGGGAATGACTGTGTAAATGTGACTTTCTTTGTCAGACTATAAGCCGTTTTGGTTTGTCTCCAGGCTGTTTTTTCCAGCAGGTCCTCAGTGATGTAGCAGTAAGTGCCACAGTGATTGGTGGTGATTGGATGTAAACTGGTTGTAAACACTGATAGATTTGTGTAGGCAGCTCATACACTCAGTTTGTTTTTTCCTGAACGGAGGAAGCCGTTACTCTCTCTACTGTAAAACAGCGCTGACACAATCAGCCTGACGTTTGTTTTAGCAAAATACACACTAAAACAGCATCTGCCTTTTATTTTTTCCAACCACCCACCCTCTCTCTCTCTTTCTCTCTATCCTCTCTTATTCCCTATTCTCTCTCTCTCTCTCTCTCTCTCTCTCTCTCTATATATATATATATATATATATATATATATACAGTGGTGTGAAAAAGTGTCTGCCCCCTTCCTGGTTTCTTATTCTTTTGCATGTTTGTCACACTTAAATGTTTCAGATCACCAAATAAATTTAAATATTAGACAAAGATAACACAAGTAAACACAAAATGCAGTTTATAAATGAAGGTGTTTATTATTAAGGGAAAAAGAAATCCAAACCTACAGGGCCCTGTGTGAAAAAGTGATTGCCCCCCACCCCCCCTTAAAACATAAATTAACTGTGGTTTATCACATCTTTGGAAAGCTGAGTTCAATTTCCCTAGCCACACCCAGGCCTGATTACTGCCACACCTGTTCTCAATCAAGAAATAACTTAAAAAGGACCTGCCTGACAAAGTGAAGTAGACCAAAAGATCCTCAAAAGCTAGACATCATGCTGTGATCCAAAGAAATCCAGGAACAAATGAAAAACAAAGTAATTGAGATCTGTCAGTCTGGAAAAGGTTATAAAGCCATTTCTAAAGCTTTGCGACTCCAGCGAACCACAGTGAGAGCCATTATCCACAAATGGCGAAAACATGGAACAGAGGTGAACCTTCCCAGGAGTGGCCGACCAAAATTACCCCAAGAACGCAGCGACGACTCATCCAAGAGGTCACAAAAGACCCCACAACAACATCCAAAGAACTGCAGGCCTCACTTGCCTCAGTTAAGGTCAGTGTTCATGACTCCACCCTAAGAAAGAGACTGGGCAAAAATGGCCTGCATGGCAGAGTTCCAAGACGAAAACCACTGCTGAACAAAAAGAACATAAAGGCTTGTCTCAGTTTTGCCAGAAAACATCTTGATGATCCCCAAGACTTTTGGGAGAATACTCTGTGGACTGATGAGACAAAAGTTGAACTTTTTGGAAGCTGTATGTCCCATTACATCTGGCATAGAAGTAACACAGCATTTCAGAAAAGGAACATCATACCAACAGTAAAATATGTGTGTGTGATGGCCTGGGGCTGTTTTGCTGCTTCAGGACCTGGAAGACTTGCTGTGGTAAATGGAACCATTAATTCTGCTGTCTACCAAAAAATCCTGAAGGAGAATGTCCGGCCATCTGTTTGTGACCTCAAGCTGAAGCGCACTTGGTTCTGCAGCAGGACAATGATCCAAAACACACCAGCAAGTCCACCTCTGAATGGCTTAAGAAAAACAAAATTAAGACTTGAGTGGCCTAGTCAAAGTCCTGACCTGAATCCAATTGAGATGCTGTGGCATGACCTTAAAAAGGCGGTTCATGCTCGGAAACCCTCCAATGTGGCTGAATTACAACAATTCTGCAAAGATGAGTGGGCCAAAATTCCTCCATAGCGCTGTAAAAGACTCATTGGCAGTTATCACAAACGCTCGATTGCAGTTGTTGCTGCTAAGGGTGGCCTAACCAGTTATTAGGTTTAGGGGGCAATCACTTTTTCACACAGGGCCCAGTAGGTTTGGATTTCTTTTTCCCTTAATAATAAACACCTTCATTTATAAACTGCATTTTGTGTTTACTTGTGTTATCTTTGTCTAATATTTAAATTTGTTTGGGAATCTAAAACATTTAAGTGTGACAAACATGCAAAAGAATAAGAAATCAGGAAGGGGGCAAACACTTTTTCACACCACTGTACATAGTCTATGTAGATGTGTGTGTTTGTGTTTTTAATTAAGGTGTGTGTGTGTGTGATGTGTCATATCACTTTCTAAAGCTCGATCCATAAACACAAACACTCCACCCCCTCTCATCCTTCACTTCACCTTGTCCTGCTTTTCTCTATGAGCTGTGTGAGCACAAAGGCCTCACACATATAAACAGCCATACACACACCACACACAACAAACATACACACACACACAAACTCATATAAACAACTACCTCACACACATTCTGCCTGTATCTCAAATTGAGTACTTGAAGTCTGTCTACTTTTAGTGTAGGTAATGTGCTCACACCAGGAAATAAAGCAGGATGTACTACTAGTACCTGGCTGATGTACTAGAACTGCTGAAATAGCTACTGGCTACAGGCTGCCATCTGTGTTGGAAGGAGAGGAGCCAGGAGAGGCCACTGCAGTGAAGTTGACTGAATGTCTTTATATTTTAATTATTGCATTTTTGCGACCTTGTTTTCTTTAGGCCTTTTGCATTATCTGGCTGATGAGTGCAAAATGTCACTGAGGTAATTGGATATGTCATAACTCAAAGCTGTACTATGTAAGTTTTGGGGTCTTCTGTGGTTAAAATGTGTAATTGCACCCATCAACACTTTGTAAACTTACTTGTGCTTTGGACCCTTTCATGAGCAGATGAATCTGCTGATTGCGAGTGTGTTGAAAGAGTATTCTAAGAATCTCAAACAAAATTGCACTGTAATTACAAGCACTTATTTTCAAATCTATACTAACTCTTATATACAACATAGAGTTGTGTACAAGTACAGTATGTAAGCCATACACACACACACACACACACACACACACATTTCTTTCCCTGTTTGGTGTGTATTCTTATCATCCAAATGAATATGGAGTGACAGCACACCTGAAAGCACTCAGTCTGTAAAGGTATTTGTCTACAAGTCTACAAAAGTATTTGTGTGTGTGTGTGTGTGTGTGTGTGTGTGTGTGTGTGTGTGTGTGATGTAAACACATCTATTATGTGCAATTTTCTAAATTTTCAATATATAAAAAACATCTGTTTTCTATTTAACAATTGGCAACTTTTGATTTACCAAATTTTCTGCCCAATTTAGTTGTGTCCAGTTCTTACACTAGGTGGGTCTTCCTTTATTACATGGCCCAAGCCATAAAAGTTTTTAATGCAGGACAATTTTATGTCCTTTCTTAATTGTTAAGAGATAACAATTAGCTGAAAAAAATGTAGAAGGAAAGCCTGCCAGTGATCAAAGAGCAAACTTTATTTTTTGAATTTGTAAGGAAGGCAAGGTGTCATCAAATCTTTCATAGTCAGTTTATGACCAGCCCTGCCCTCACAAACAATTTAACATCCTGTCCTCTCTCCTGCAATTATTAGCCTCAAGCAGCCTAATGAAGGTTTAGCCACTGCGTACTAATGTGGCCTCTCCGCAGCTCCGCAGCTTCTGCCGGTGAATTATAAAGAGCGCAAGTGAGTTTTATGAAAGTCATAAAGAGGCAGCTAATGTCGTCTCTGAAAGGGAAGCGGAGAAACACACGCTGCGAAATCGCATTGTCATACGGTTAATGTCTCAGAGAGAGAGGGAGAGATAGAGAGGGGTAGAGGTTAGAGGAAGTTTAGATGAAGTTGAAAGATGGAGAATGAGAGAGAGAAAGAGAAAGTGAGATGTTTGTGTTTATAATGAGGTTATCAGTCACATTAAAGCTTTTGTTTTCCTTGGGTTTAACCCCATGCTGTGGCGTCGTTAGCGAAAGCCTGTGAGAGAGAAAACCAAAAGCGCCTAGTGCTCATGTATCATGGCCTGCAGCCAGAAACACTCCCTATAACAACACTCACTTACACTGTGTGTCAGTTTGGGCACTTTGCACTATATTGTTACTCTATACATTGTACACTATATTATTATACTGTACATTATGCACTGTATTATTGATCTATTCATTGTACACTGTATTGTTAAACAATGCATTATATTATTTAATTTTAAACCATACACTATATACTGCCTTATTACACAATATACTATATAATATAGTAATATTCTTAAACTATACACTGTATTATTGTATTATACATCATGCAGTATATTCTTACTCTGTAAACTATAATTACAGAATGTACCTTGTCCACCATCTGTCCAATTCATCACTGGTCAGCAGAGTTACTTTAAAAATGTATTTCGTTACAGATTATCTGTTTAAAAATGTAATCTTACCAAATCCAAAGGATTACTATATCAAAGTAATATAATCTGATTGCTTTCTGTTATTTTTGGACTACTTGTCTTTAAATACACACACATATACACTCACATTTTCTAAGTGGCTTATGCTTCTGGGTTGTGGGGGGGGGGGCTGGAGCCTACCCCAGCAGTCGATGGGCGGAGGGCAGGAAACACCCTGGACAGGTCGCCAATTCATAGCAGGTGTCTTTAAATAGAGGCGTATACTTAAATAAGGGAAAGAAAAAGATCACTTCAACTTTTTAACCAAAATTTAACACATGCTTAACACAAAAACTGCACTGTTTTGTGAAACAGAATGATAGGTGACTGAAATATTGTGCCTCGCAGAAATAGTCACCAATCTCACATTCAGCGAAAAGGCCAAATCAAAGTGGAGCAATATACAGAAATATTTTAAACATAAAGATTTGTATAACAGTATGCCTT